TGTGGTCTTGGACTCTTGTACACTTATGCAAGACACTCATTTTTTTAAAAAAGTCAACATGTTACTGCTTCAGTTAGTTAAGTGACCAGCTGGCCTAAGACAGCTTAAAGATGGTTTAGCATGATGCCTGAACTGACCCATTCTTGTTTATTCATGGTCCTCATCCAGTGTTAGGTAGTCACTATCCTACCTAAGCTGCTCCAATCAAATATGATCAGCGTTTTCACTCTGTGTGCAATCCTTCATCATTTCCGTTCAGATCTTAAACTAACGAGAAAGAATATGTACCCTTACCTCTGTGTGCAATTCATTTTTATGATTAAAACCCCCTTCTTCATTGTCATTTTTGAAAGAAATGGGAACTTGAAATGGTAAGAGTTACTATGAAACAGACTCTGTGATGGTGCTGACCTCTGTCTTTGTCACATTCCTCCACCCTTTGTCATAATTTCTTTTGGCTTTAGTTAATAAAATTGTTCCACATCTGCTGCCCCTTATAATCTTTTCCCTCTAATTGGGTTATATATTTGCCACCTTTGTGTGACATAATACCAGCGCCGAGCAGTAAAGTGCATGTTATTACTTCAAAGAAGCCTTACTTGCTGACAAGAATTAATTAGAATTCTAATGGTTACGTAAGGCTTCTGTTCTACAGTAGGAGCTTTAGTGAAATGATGGCAATGGATAATTAGCAGCCACTATTCTGTCTCTTCAGTTTGGATAGTCCATAAAAGATTTGATGCTTCCTTTCCCTGAAATAAACAAAAACAGCTTCTGAACTGTCAGAAAACAACAGCAGTTCTTGAAGGCTAATCATTAGTAGGCTTTGTCATGGACTTGTAATTGTTTCATGAATTCTGCTTCAATCAGGGGAAAATATGCTTATGTGCCAATAAAAAGTTTTAAAGCCATGATGACTTTTTTCTTCTCTGTCTCTCTCTTTCTCTTTCTCTGTGTGTGCACGTGCATGCGTGGGCGTGCATGTGCAACTTGTTCTGGATAAATGTTTCCATTTGTGACCAATGCAACCCTCTTGAAGAAGTATTTCCTTGAGTGAAATGTATTCTCCAACTGGAAAAGTTCTGGATGAATCTTCACACAAACAGATTGTGGAATATTACTCATGTCTATCTTAAAAAGACTTGTTCCTTGCTAAGACCTTGCTTCTATCCTATAATATCTGACCTGACTGCTCAGTCTCTAACACTAAGCATACTTCTCTCTGCAAAACCGGAATTGTAACCTTGAGGATAACTTCATAAGCCTGGCCAAAAGGAAGAGAGCAGTAAAATTAACACCATAGAAAAAGCAACATCTGTAGGCCATATATAATGTTTTGTTCAAAGCTTCAAATGAAGAAATGAAGCACATTTTTGGAAACTACCCATAATTAGGGTATGGGTATTGTGGACCTCAACAATTTCTGATTGGATGGCACATTTCCCCACCTAACTGTACTCCGTTAATATTCCTTCATAAACCCATGAACTTTAAAATAAATGTCCACTGAGATAGGGATGGAGCTGTCTTGATGGATGCTTGTAGTCTAAATCCTGAGACTTCATTCCAGTCTTCTTTAGGTAAGATATTTCTTGTGGAAGAACTGGGCAAGTCTCTAGCTATGCAGTTTGAGATATCATTGGAAGCAGGAGGAGAGAATAATGTAAGTTGCTTTGATTTCTTTAAAAAAGGCAGTATATAAATCTAACAAATGAATGTGTGTGTGTGTGTGTGTGTGGGTGTGTGGGCTGCTCATTGATTTTTGTTTGGCTTCCAGGAATGTTGGAGAATTTTTCTCAGTCTGCATTTTTATGCAAACAGGCTTAATGTGCTCCTCCTGGACTGATGAAAAGTTGGAAGAGAGGTACTGTTGAAACCCAGCATTTTCTTCATTTTGTGATACAGTCCTTGGCTCAAGAATGGCATTAGCTGATTATGTTAGGGAAAAATACATACACAATATTAGGTATACATGCAGAATGTATATGTCAGAGAAAGGCGAGTGTATATAAATGCATAAAAAAGCATTCCCTGATGTGGAAACCGGACGGAATGGACCAACGACTGACACGGGCTGGTTTCATGTGCCCATCCTGGGCTCCATTCATAAGGAGCCATGTATATTCATCTTTGATTTGGTCAATCAAATTGCAGTCTCTGCACCTGCATATGTACCACTTTACATGAAGGCCCGGTTCCTTCTGAGTTTAATGGTTTTTTAAATACTCTGATCCAGAATATGAACTGTTCTTTTGATCTTTTGTATCTGGCATGGAAATGAAAATCTGGATAGGTAGCATAAAGGCTCCTAGATGTGTCAATAAAACATGCAATTATATTGACGTTTTACAGAAGTAATAATAAAAATTTCTGTTTGGTGTCAAAATAAGCAGTGTTTATTTCAATAAATGTACAACTAATATAAAATTATTAAATGATGCTTACACTGTACACCAAAATGTGCATTCTTTGCCACTCAGCCTGCACATCCGTAGTAGGAAGTGGCGGCTTTATAAATGCTTTATATGTTCACAGTGAAGATTTACATTCTAGGCATTAAAAAAAAAAAAGAAGCATTATGAGAATTTCTACTTTGAAAAGAAAAGAACAAGTATGTCATTAGGTTTAAATCTCTTAAGCCAGATTTCTCCAAACTGGTGACTTCCAAATATGCTGGGCTACAACTCTCATGCCATGGAGGGAACCAGCCTGTTTTATACAACTCCCCTAATATAGAACCCCCTGTTAGGCAAATACATGGGTTTTCAACAGCAATTGATATTTTGTTTTCTGATTCTTTATGGCCAGGAAAGAGAGCTTCTGGTGCATAGGTGAAGCTCTATATAAATGCAAACTGACCTGTTCTTTCCTTTGGGGGAATTCTCTTATACATAGGACATATTGCATTTGCACATTTATACTAGCTGCAAGAAAAAGAACAGAATTAAAATCTCAGTCCTGGGCTAATGAATGGGATAGAAAACCTAAATAAATAAATGAAAAATAAATAAAAAAAGATGTATTCTTTGCTCATAATACAGTATATTAAAAGAATGTGAAAATATAGGAATTAATCTTGTTATAGAATACAGGTGGGAGAAAAGACCTAATGATTGTATCTCTTTGGTTTGCTTGACCTGAAAGTTGTCACATGAAGGATGCATTGAATTGAATCCACACAGTGCAGTGGCTGCTACAGATGACACGGAGTCAGTGTCCCTGCAGCATTTCTCTGATCTGCTGCCATCAAAGAATGTCTTATGTGCGGCCTGGAAACATTCCTATTTGCCATTTGATGCAACGTATTGAAAACAGTGTGGTGTAGGCTGGGCCAGTTGGTGGCACCAGTTTCATGCAACAAAAACTGCTTTAGAAATCGGTACGGCCCCAAGGTGTCTTTTTTGTGCGCATTGTTGAGGGACAGCAGGCCTGCACAACTGGTGATCCACTTCTCCAGCCTTCTCCAACTCAGCACCCCCCAGTTGTTTTGGATGTCAATTCCCATCAACCTCGGATAGTATGGCCAAAGGACAAGAATGGTGGGAGATCTCATGGGCACCAGGTTGGGGAAAGCTGGACAAAGCCAAGCACCTTGGTTTTACTGGACATAGTCTTCTTCCCCTATTTCGCTGCCTGCCTGGGACGTCACGAAATTTGATGTGGTTAAGCATGGGCAAGGCAACAGTATAAGAGTGAGGTTATATTGCCTAAAAATATTAGTTTCAATACAACAACTTACTCAAACATGCATATGGCAGGTTCCATATTAGAAATGGGAATTCTCTTTCCCTCACACAGGGTTAGAAATACCTCTTCTAATATGGAGCCTGCAGTGACAGGGGACTGTACTACCTACAAACAAAAGAGAATTGCTTTTTCTTCATATTTATCATTTTGTTCATATATATCAATGTATTTATTTCATAAATAAATCAGTCAAATGAAACTCATAGATAAGTCCACTAAGATATTTTGGATCAGGTAATTGCTGTATATTTGTCAACACTGGATGTTCAAAAGTGGCATAAAGGTGCCAGTTTCTCAGATTTGGTGTTGGTGATTAAAATAACAGAATGGGCCTGTAATAATTCACCTGGCAAGAGTTGTGAGGGAACCCTTGCTATGTTTTGTTCTTCATCTCTTATCATTTAATGATCCAGTTCACATGCATTGCAATCTCATCACTTTTGTGGACTGTTGGAAATGCACTAGCCCATTCATAGGTTATAAATGATATGGTAACCCAGGGTGCTGGATTATTTAGCCTGTAACCAATCCTGCGCTCCAGGTTTGCATCAACAGATCAAAGGCTACTGAGTAAAAGTGAATGTGACATAAACATGGGAGAGAGCACTCTCTCTTTCTCCCAGTTAGGCCTCATGGTCCAAAAGCTATTTAAACCATAGGCTGAGGTTATGGGAAATTCAGGTCAGTAACAATGTCAGCACTACCCAGTATTTCCAATGGGAATAATTTTAAATGTGTCAGTATGCATTGAAAGGGTTTTGCCTAAATGCATATTATTTCTCTTCTATGGATTACCACTAAATATTTCACATCTGATGCTAACCATAGAGCAGATCCATTATCAAAGAAAAAAGAACACAGCTCAAGAATTCTTACTACACTACGCAGAAATTTACATATGCCATTTACAAATTGTATGTGAAGAAAATGCACCATAGAAGACATCTAACATTAAGTTCAGGTAATTGATATACACTTTTATGTTGAAGCATAAACATAGCCCAGAGTTTCCCAATATGGTTCCCAATATAAGTTTGAAGTTACTCCTTCCACCAGCTCCATTCAGCATGACCAATTGTCAAAATTGTTGGTAGTCGTACTTCAAAACATGTGGCGGGTGCAAAGCTGTGGAATGCAGCTCATGAATTCTACCATTAGTTTTGGTTTATCTTTTAGTAAGAATTTTGTAAGAGGATTTTGAACCAAACTTCTCTCATATCTGTGAACTATACAGATATGTTTGAACACTGATAAATTATTTCAAGAAGTTATTTATTTAGGCCACTTTCATGCTGTCCCATAATATAATGATTCCATGAACAAACAGAAAACTTTTGACATAAAATTATACAAAAACCCCATAAGATCAAAAAACAACATAAAGTTCAACAAGAAACAAAACTAAGAGTGAGCCCTAAAAAACCTTCCCTCACAGACTTCAGGGTTGAAAAGCTCAGACTGCCCGAGCTATTAAAAAGGCCTGGTTTTTCAGAGACCCCAGGAAAGGTGCCAGAGGAACTTCTGTGGGAAGCCTGTTCTGGAATGGAAAAGTTACCTTCCCTTGACACACACACACACACACACACACACACACACACACACAGATTTCATCTCACAGGAAAATATGGAAGATAGTATTCTTTCATATCACCCATTCCTAGAACTTCAAATTTATGGAAACAAATGTGACAAAATGGGAGAAACAGTAGGGACACAAAACCTAGCCCATCATGTTGTAATCAGGCAATCCTTTCATATTCATGGACTCCAGCCTATACAAGGAGCTTGCTCAACAACAAGGGCTTTACAACTCACTTTAATAAAGGAGTAGAAGAAGCCCTGCCCCAGCCATGAATGATTAGGCCTGAAAATGGAAAACATCTCTTTATGGACAACAGTGGCATGGACCATTGCCTTATTTCTTTTCTTTCTTAGGGTAGCAAAAGATCATCTGTGACACAGATAGAAGATTTCCATGTTTCAGCAAATATCATTGGGTTTGGGGTTAACTTATGAAATGATTGATAATACCACAAATACAAGAACAATTATGATGAAGTTCTGAAATACAGGTTTATGATATGGACTATGCCTTTCACAGCTTTTATAGATATATAATTTATATTATAGATGCTAATATGATACATGTTTGAACACTATATACAGAAAATCTATATATCACACAAATAAAAGAAAATACAGACCTTACCATTTTATACTGCTTTCATATCACATTTCAAACATAAACTTAAACTGCATGTTTGGGTATACTTAACACTTATAGGTCCTCTATATAGTACATATAGATGAACAAGAAAAAGAAAATGGAAAGTCCACAAGAAACTCAAATACATTTTCAATGGATTAACAATTTCAACATTTCCCAATAAACACAGTTGTGGAAGTACCAGCACAATATTAACAAAAGTACAGTTATTTAGATATAGTGATTTCTGTACCACCAAGTAATCGATACCACTTTACATTTTGGTACACACATGAGGACACACACACAACCCCATATACAATTTGTCTTTATGATAAAAAGCATTACATCTAAGATGGGAGAAAATGAAACTTGAGTCAGATAAAGCTTTTTCACAGAATAAATAGAAATAAATACATTTATTTACAACTTCAGCAAGGCAACATTTAAAAGAATTCTGCCAGCAGAAAGGAAGATCACCCTTTGCATACAGGTAGGTAGCAATGATTGGCAAAAAGCATCCCTGCTTTATTTAAATTTCTGTGCTTCCCTCTTTGGCAGGTGGGCCATCCATTAAGTCAACAAGAATTCTGAGATGAAGGTAACAGTAAACCAAAATATATAATGCAGATGGTGTTATTGTTTAAAGAGAAATAATGCTCTGCAACTGCAAATATATCAAAATGTGCTGCTCATATGAAGACATCCAGGTTCTCACAACATGGCAGCCCAGCATGGTCTCATCAATGGTTGTTGCATCATGCTGGGTTCCTGCAGAACCATTTCGCATGGTGTCAATAAGTGCCTGGCTTACTGAGCCATATGAATCTAGGTACTAGGGTCTGTTAGGGAACCCTCAAATAACCAATGACTTGTTCAAGCCGCAGCAAGTCAAGCACCCATGGACACCATGCAAAAATGGTGTACCAGGCACCATTGACAGACTTTGAGGGGAAATTAATCCATGGTGAGCTAATGACGTGTGAACAGGACTGTTGTGCTCAAGGGAAAGTACAAATATTGACCACGATAATGGGAGGTAATCAGTACATCTATAGAAAGCTTTTAAATGTTACTGATTTCTCACTCTAGCTGGGATATCATAACAGGGGGTTCATTCAACCCTCTCATTTGTAAAATGTACATGTAATTGGGTCGTGTAGCCCTGAGAATTTGGGCACAAGTTCTAATTCTTTCCTGCAATTCATCCTTGTGAAGAATGAGCTTGTACCTTCATGAGGTTCCTTCTGGATTGTCCCTTGGAGGGAGAAGCTCTTCACATCCATGTCAGTATCCACAAAGATCCTCTTCACATTACTGGTGGGGCATGTGGTCAGTGTGAGCAGGGCCAGTGCAATGCAGCATTGCCCCATGAGCCTGTACCTGCATTTGCTGGGCATTTGAAATAAATAGCACCAATTTTGGAGCATGCAGCTGTACTTTTCTGAACAAAGTATATGCCTATCATCCCCATGATGAAATGCTGTAGTCTGAATGATGCTTGATTTCCCCGATGCTCCATATGTGTGAATGGCCAATTTTGAATTCTGGGTAAGGCATACAGTGGTCCACACTTGACTGGATCAGCACAGTCAACTTCTGTATGGCAAAGCTGAATGGAACAGCATCAATCACCTGTTTGCAACACTCAGAGGGAGACACTCTCTGGCTTTCTGTTAAGCCAAGAGTGCATCACTTGTGATCCTCCAGATGATGTTGGACTGCAGCTTCCAAGATCCCTCAGTGCTGTTTGGAGTTGCAGGCAGTAACAAATTGAGGGCTACAAGGTGGCTAACCCTGCTGTAAACCAACTTTCCCCAACATATGGCCTTCTAGATATATTGGACTACATGTCTACTCCAGGCATGTAATTTGTGCTCTCAAAAGTGCAATTCGCATAGGGGTCCTGTTACTGGAAAGAACTACCTTCTTAAATAAAGACAAATGGCTATTTACGTCTAAAATATTGTTAAAATTATATAAAAGTAATTGATTCCACATATGGCAGAGGGGAGAAAATCTATACTCAGCGGTAGTACCCTTGATCTCTGCATAACTAATAAATGAATTTCATTCTACCGCAGATGTACATTTTTATCTTAACTCAAAACCTCATAATATTTCAAAAACTGCTGGCCCCATTCTGACAAACTTCAATTTCTGATTGACACAAGAATGCAGTTTGTGTATGTATATGAAAGCGTAGCATACGTTGATTTTGATTACGCTCAAGAAGCATACGAGACATAGAATCCATGTTCTTGAATCAAGCACATGTTTTGCTTTCATTGCATTACTTGGAAACAAACTTTGTATAACACCTGTGCATAAGGCCATAAAAGGTAAGGAAATAATTGCGTATACACATTAAAAAAAATCTCATAGGCTTGATTGAATGAAATACACAACTTGACCACACTTTTTGGTACATTTCAAACCCTCCTTAGCTCTATTGCAGCAACTGGGTTCCTCCAACACATCAAGCCATGGTGGTTTTCAGCCAGGGTGTCCTGCTGTGCATTCTGCAGCATGGCTTTCTAACCACTCTGGCTGGGTTGAGGCAAGATGATAACTGACCCTGGCTTATAAGCCACTGGGACTCATCATGTTGTTTGAGCCTCGTCACAATATTTCTCTCCAAGCACTAGAACAAAAAGTCAGGATACTAAGGAAAACTGCCATCCACCCATTTTCACTGACACTTGCTGTAAACAACCAACGATCCTTTCCATATTACAAAATGAAAGTCAGCTGCTAAATTTTCACAGATGAAGCAACTCACTTGGTTTAACACTTTGAGCTGTGGAGGCTGGGATGCTGAGTGGGTTACCTCACTATGCTCTCCAGCCATCATTCAATGTCCAGGGGTCCATTCTTTTGAGCAGTCAGGATTAAGTTTTCTGAAGGTCGATAGGAAAGAGAGGACATTTTTGTTGATAGACTAGAATGCCTGACATTTGGGGGGAAGTACTTGAGAAGCTGGAGGAAATACTTTCTAAAGTTCTTTCCAAAAAAGCCATAAAAGATGGGATTAAGGCAGTTGTTGAAGTAAGCTAAGCAGATGGTGAAGGGCATGGCTTCATCCACCAAATCAATAATTTCACATTTTGTAATCACACGAAGCTGAATCAGTACATCCAGAAAAGTGAATATTTGATGAGGGATCCAAGAAAAAAAGAAAAAGAGAACAATTGCAACAATCATCTTAAAAATGTCATCTCCTCTGGACTTGTTTTTCTGAATCTGGTATGCCTTCTTCAGGGTCTTCCAGATTAATATGTAGCTTGTTAAAATGATCACAAAGGGAATCAAGAACCCCAACGTATTTTTGGATAGGCCTAATCCAACCTTGACAGTTGTGTTGCTGGTTGCGTTGGAGGTTGCATACCAGTAACCACATACAGTTATATTTTGCTGTTCAATGACGTAGACACTGCGGTGAATAATAACTGGCAAGCTGGCGAGGGCTGCCATTAGCCAGATGATGATGCAAGTTATCCGGGCAACGAACATCGTTCGCCGAAGCCGTGCCTTCATTGGATGCACTATTGCCAAATAGCGGTCAATGCTAAGGCATGTCAGGAGAAACACACTGGCATATAGATTAAAGGTTGCTGCAGCTGAAGTTAACTTACACAAGCAGTTGCCAAAAGGCCATCGGTATTCCATGGCAGTGGTGGCTGCCCATAATGGCAAAGTCACTAAAAAACACAAATCTGCCAGCGCTAAATTCAACAGAAAGACACTCGCCACAGTTTTTAACTTCATGTAGAAGTAAATGACAATCACCACTAGGCTATTTCCGAATATCCCTATGATGAAGATGATTGTATAAACAGTTGGGACCATGATTAGTATGTAGTTACGCCTTCCCAAGGAGGGACAATCAATGTGGACTCTCTTAACGGTCTCTTCTGTAGAGGTATTTAGGTTCATCTTGATCAGTTTAGCTGGAGGCTACTGGAAAATTGATATGATGATCATCTGGAGGAGAAAAATAAGGTCATGACTTTTGTTTTGCATTTACTTATATTTTCCCCCAACCCCCTGCTCAACATTTCCTTTACAGCACTTGGTGTATATTTTAAAATACGGTGATCTAACTAAAATGAAGCCAGATTCTTAAGCCAATATGGGACGGGGAGGATTCTGTGGAGTCCCAGCAGTGAGGTCCTCTGATAGCCAAGCCTCCAGAGAGTGGAACCATGACATCTGCTTCTCAGAAAGTGTAAATAAGCCTTGGACAGAGGGGAAAAGGTTGTGCTATGGGATTGGGGAGGAGGCTGGTGCTGTCTCGCTATGATTCCCATTAATTCCCTCCTTCACTTCCTGTCATTTTATTTGGATAGCCAAGAACACCTGTCTAGGTTAAGTACATAGGGTGAGGCATGAGATAGGCTGGTGGCAGAGTTTAACTTTTCTCTGTCCATTGGGTGCACATAAGCCTCTGAATTCAGAGGTGCATGTGAATCTGAGGTGGGGGGCGGGTGGGGAGGACATTGAATTGCACCATTACCCTAGTCATTTAGTTTTGTTTCAAACTTTAGGATCTTCAGCTTGCTTGCGTGCTTGAATGCATGTGTGCGAGTGTGCGTGCTTGTTTTCTTCCTTCCTTCCTTCCTTCCTTCCTTCCTTCCTTCCTTCCTTCCTTCCTTCCTTCCTTTCTTTCTTTCTTTCTTTCTTTCTTTCTTTCTTTCTTTGGATAAAGGTTTCATCCCATCTGTGTTTAGACAGAAAAAAGTCCTACAGCTTCCAGCATTCCTGTGCTAGCAGAACTGGTTCAGGCATGCTGAGAATTGTAGGAATTTCTTTCTGTCTAAACATGCACAGGAGACCTCAAAGAACTTCCTGACAGTTAGGACCCCGAGGGCGTGGAATGCGCTTCCACAAGAGGTTGTTGAGGCCCCATCAGTGAGGGTGTTCAAAGATAGGCTGGACATGCACATGGCGGGCATGTCATGAGCAGAGCTGGCTGGCGCCGGGGGTCAGACTAGATGGCCCGGGAAGCCTCTTCTGACTGGCTCAGTTTCTATGTTTTTATATTCCTGAATATAGGAGATTCTTACTTTGTACTGTACCACAAAGCCCTATCTGGTTCATGCATTTCAGAACTGGCACTTAATCTTTTACACTGTTGCATCAGACTGGAATATAGACATAGTCTAAATCTTAGATTTTAACTTAGATTTAAGAATGCATTTAAATTAATTACATTTCAATTTAAGTATAATTGATTTTCTTGGACTCTGCTAGAGCAAAAGGCTGGCCTTACAAACTCGCATTACATCGCTAAGAATTAATGAAATGTTGTTCTTTCCATTGTGTTATCTTATCAATGTAAACACTAAATATACTGCAACTCCCAGATTACTGATATCTTGGTGTTCTGTCCCTGTTATGTTATGCATAGTTACTGTAAATATCTGAATAACTTTCTTTGATAGGATATATTTGGACTGCTTTTTAGAGACAAAGACAAACAACAGAATTAAATGTGTTTTTAATGAATCACTTAACAGGTTATTTTGGATCATAAAAATTTATTAAAGAAAACAAAACCACTTGGCATTTGGAAGCTTGCCTATCTGAACTTCATGTAGTTCTGTTGCCAATCGCTAATTTGTGTCTGATTAGCAAGGATGTTGACATTATTCTTAAATATACTTTGGACATGCACTGTGGATACAATAAATAAGAGCCAAAATATATACAGCAATGGTTTTTTTGTTGTTGATGATAATAGCTTGAAAACATTGTATACTTTGTGTTTGCTGCCTCTAAAGGAAAAGTAGTCACATGTTGCATTGCTAGAAAGAAAGCCCTTTATCGCATTGTATCGCATTGCAAATTTACCTGCGGATGTAGCAGTGTCATATCTGGTGGTCTCCACTCCTGATCTCCTGACAACAGGCATTTTGAAAAGTCACTCGTTACCAGACTGTGTGGCCAAAGCCCATGCACATACACTCTGTGCATGTGTAGCGGGTGTTCCTGAGCCCTACCAATTGCATCTATGTGAACGATGTTCAGGTGCTGGGATCCGGTCCTCCCTCCATGCATTCTTCATGGATGCCGTATCATGTGAACAGGGGTGGGAAGGAACAAAAAGCAAGGGTGGACAACTTGTGACCCTCCAGATGTTTTGGCCTGCAATTCCTTTCATCCCTCACCATTTGGCTTTCTGGAACAACTAATTAAGCTTGTGGGGCAAAAGATCTGGAATGTCTCGAGTTCCCTGCCCCTGTCATAAAGGGCTGGGTGTATAGGTATGTGTTAGTGTGGTGCCTGTACAGATGTAAGCCTTTCTGCAATCTTTGCATTCAGTACAGATGATCTTCAGAAAATAAATGTATCTTAAGCAAAACCTTTGCAGTGAAGAGTTAGAGTTCCCCAGACACAAACTTCTTTTCTTCTGACATGTAATTTAGCAAACAGAAAGCACTAATAAGCTAAGCATCACATCTAACGACTGAATGAAAGGAATGAGGGAACCATAATGAAATTTAGGCATAGCATGGCATAAACAATTTGTTTCAAGAATTACAAAGCGGTTCTCAAGAGAATTCAGAAGGAATGAAAATTTGGGGAAAGGTGTGCAAGTGCTCAGTATACAGAGGGTTTAAAGTATACAAAGGATATGAAAAGGACCCTCCTCCATACTTAGCCTTTTGCAGATGGAAATGCCATGGCATATGCTTTGGCTTTCAATAGAACTGTATTAGTAGAGTTTGGTTTGTTTGAGATTTTGGGAAAGATCCCTGTGCAACCTCAGGAGGCAGAGCATCTTTTACGGGCTGCCAATATCATTGGCAGAACCAGATAACAAGCTTTTGTAACTAGGAAGCTCAATGTGTTCATGTGCTGGAGGCTGGGAGCTCCAATTTCAGAGGGCCAATGTTGCCACCCTGCGTTGTAGTCTGAACTTTTAAGGGGGTACCCACTGTGCCGAACCGATGTTGGGCTGGGCTTCAGCACCATAGAGAGCTCCTCTTAAGCTCAAACTGAAACCTGGTTTAGCTGCACTGCTCCACTGAGCTTGGCACCATCAGTCTCTACTGTGCATAGGCTGACAACTTACGGAGGGACCTGATACAGATAGGGAAACAGGAAGGAAGAAAGTAGGGAGGGGGAAGGAGGGAGGGAAGGAGAAAGGAAGAACAGGATCCTCCAAGCATAGATACAGCAGGAATGGTGACTGGAGCCCAGAAAAGTCATCACACCATCTGTTGTTCTCTAGTTGACCACAGTCCCACAGACCCCCTTGCTTGCCACTTGATATACCCAGCTGGCTTTTATTTCTTCATTATTCCTAGTTATGCAAGCCACATATTTTGTTCGGGACAAAAATAGGTCTGGCCCTGTCCTGTTTGGTGACCCATGCCTAGGGACATATAGACAGTTCTGAGAAGCTATGTAATCCCCCCACCTCCAACCTTGAAGCATTCCAAATGTACTGTGATTGATGTGTGCCTTTTATTTCTCTTTTCTTCTTCCCAAGAAGAAGATTGTTGTGTGCCTTTTATTTTCTCTTTTCTTCTTCTTCTCAGCCTCAGGCTGAGCTAGACTTAAAGGGTAGTGATCTTAATGCCACACAGCAATGAAATCATGGGAAAAATAGGAGAGGTTACTATTTATTCTCCAGTTCACTGGGCAAATCAGAGAAAGAGAGAGAGAGAGACTGGCGTACAAGGCACCATGCTCCTTGTATGCCAGTACAAGTACCAACTAACCCTCCTTGCTATTTTGGCATCCCAATCTTTTTAAGAGCCCGGATAGCTTTGTTCTGCTTTCAATCTGACTAATGATTAAAGCTGGGGCTGTCTAACTTTTGGTTCCCAGATATTGTGGGTTACAATCCCACAATCTTCAACCAGCAGGCACATGGATGATGGGAGTACTAGGCCAACAACATTTGGTTATTCAGGTTTGGGAGAAGTTGTTCTGGATGGTACAGGGAAGAAACTAAATGCAATCCCTGAACAGAACAGCTTATTCTAAAATTTTGAGGATTTGAATCAATGGCACCCTCCTCCCAATATTCAGAAGTAGTATGTCACTGAATACCGGGGGGGGGGGGCAGGGTAATGGAGGAGCACCATCCGTTTTATGTTTTGCTTGAGGGCTTCCTGGAAGTGCCTGGCCAGTGTGGGAGACACTGGCCAGAATGATGGGTTATAGAAAACTTTGACCTGATCCTGCATCTTTCTGTACAGGTGTCACATATTTAACTGCACAAAGTGCAGTTTGGGCAATTGTTCTTACTTGATACCATAGTTTCCTAAAAAGTCACAGCTGTGTAACTTTCTCATGATAAGGTAACCATGGAATATATTTATAATCTTATCATCAGTATGACCTTGCCAGCTATTTCTTTGAGGCCCCCTATTACTTTAAGACATCATGGCCAAGTGGCCCAGTATTTAAAGCTGCACCAAGAAACCATTACTAAGATTAAAATTGGATTTTTGTACTGAAAAAGACTTCTAACACTTTCAGAGTTAGCACCTATGAAATTTGTTCCTCAGAAAGTACACAGGCATTGCAGTGGCATGAAAAATTTGAAAGCAAGTAACAAGCTTAACAATGGAAATGGAAGCACATCCTCTCTGAAGTAGAAAATCAAGATGGCAACTACCTCCGATGTGATGAGCATAACAGTTCTGGACACACCTATGCCTTGCACTAAATTATCCTTTTTCTTTGCTAGAAAACACGAAGATTTAGCTATTTAAAAAAAACCTGGTAGAATGGAGATTTGGTCATCTAGTGCAACACATTCCATTTATGTCATCACTAATCTAGAGAAAGTGTGAAAAATCTCTAAACAACACATGAAAGACTCTTAGAGTTGGAAGAACAGTCTTTTTCAGGATCCTATCAAATCATCAAGCATGTTTCAAGGCTGCATTCTGGAAAATACTGGCAGGTGTAGTTTATCCAGTAATATAGGTCTGTTCTGATCAAAACACATTTGGGATGCTGCC